AAGGCTTTAACACAGGCAGCGTAACAGGTATTAACCAGGTCTCTGTGTGCGACCCGAAAACAAGACAGCTCATGAATGCTGCTGTAACTATCATTACCCAAGTCTTGGAAAACAATTTTTATCCATCCATATCATCTGGTGACATATTGTGACCAAACCAATTCCATCTATAAGAGCACTAAGCTTCTTCCTGGCAAATAACAGCAAAATTTAAGTTTCTTTCTGTAGCACACCATGACAAGACAACATCTGTTTCTTTAAAAAAATCACCCTCTGCTTTCTGCAGCAACATGGCAGCAAGCGTCCTGTAATGTAATGACATGTATTTCTTCCGCCTGGGAAAAGAATGCTGTAGTATCAACCCATTCAGGCTCAATCACCCACAAAAAGGAAGAAAAATTACTAATCGATGGCAATATTAGTAGCTCCAAGATGTATCATTGTGCTGCAAAAGGAAGATTATCCATGTTTAAGATTTCGTGACAGCCCTGAAGTTGGCCAGGACTAAAGGTATGCTATGTGCACCTATGCACATACACAAATACCACCCAGGGAATTGTTCTCACAATTTCCTCCAGGGCACAAAGAGTGCCTGAACCACTGATAGTTTAGTTGCTTCGCTCTTGTAGTGGAATCCAAACCCCAGATTCAAGGGTTTATGCATGCTTAAAAGAGGTAGGTGTGGAAAGATTAAGCCGGCAACCTGCCTCTGCCAAGCAGGAAGCTCTGCAGAGCACTGCAATAGGAAATGCCAAACACAGGGCTGAACCTGAGCTTCTCACCTTTCCCTAGAACTTAAGAGCCGGCAGCAAGGTTGCACGGAAGCATCTTGATCCACTTGCAATGCAGAACCTGTGGATTTCTTCTCCATAGAAGCTTCTACAAAATTCAATGACAGATTTGAGGGGGCTCACTGTTTGCAAAAGGCTAGTTACAGGGGGTGAGGACATGTCTCAGGATGTGAGAGATCGGGAATCAACTCCCTCCTAAACTGGAGAGGATTCAAAACTACAACTCCTGCTTCTTTGCAGGGTGCCCTCACACTACTCTTATGTATTACTGTGGACAAGAGTGGAAAGGGTTGACGCAGTTGCTATCTCTTCTGCTGGAACTGGGACATTGTGGAGAACAGAATGGAAGATTGATACAGTCAGAAGCAGAACACGGAGAAGGAGGATGTGCAAAACGGGAGGTTCTCCTTCCAGCTGTGGGTCATATTTATCCAGGGGCCCTTCAGAAGTAAAGTGCATCAACAAGAGTGAAGACGAAACCCCAGGACTTCTCTATACTGATGCAAACAAGGCTGAAAATTCCTTCTTTATAGGCTCTGAATGGATTGTAGGCAAGAAAATAAAGGTCCTGCCTCTGCTCCATAAAACTACAGGAACTGACAACAGTAAAAATGGTTAATATATATTATTGTGAAGGTGTAAAATCATGAGGAGTGCAAAGTCTAGTATTGTTTGGGGCTGTTATGTCTATAGCTATTACAGATTTACATTGTTTATCAGATTTAATAAAGATATTTTCAAAATTACTGCAGATAATTTCATTAACAGGATAATGATGTCTTTAAAGGAGGATATGCTTTTATTTCAGCAACAAGAAAAATCCTTTCTTTGTTATTTTAGTCCCTTCTAATAGTTCTTTTCCATCTCAAAGCATGGGAAAAATCCCCAATGTATTCTAAAGTCCAAGATTAAAATCACTTCTCACAAGGCTAATTCTGCTTTAGCTTCCAGGTATCTTTTGAAAATGTCTTTCAAGAAGTAATTTTCACTGTAAATAGATCCATTTTTACAGGACACTTGGTTCCTTTCAGTTTGCACAATATTCTTATTTGGTACATAGAGCTTAACCTGAAATGCCTATTTCAAAGTGGAAGACAGTCCATCAAAGGCATCTTTCTATCTTGTAACACTTAGAAAAATTTTTACATGAAGACGTTGTTGACCATTGTCAAAAGGCACAGAGCACAAAAGAAATGCCAAGTTGGCAGGAGAATACCACATCAGCCCTGCATGACCAGATACACTGATAAAAGGATTAGACAGTGCTAGGGAAAATTTCATTTCCTGAGCAAAATTAGGTTACTATAGTTGAAATAGATTAAATAATTTCAGTAAGGCAAATTAGTTATCTTACCTTCTGCAGCAGTAAAAAGGGACAGGCTCATTTGAACGTTTTTCTGCAGCCAAATGAAAGAAAGAAACCTACATCCACTGACTCCTTTCTCTCATGAAATACACTTGACCCACAAACCTCTCTGTCTTTTCTACCTTTTTTTTTTTTAATTTGTGTTTGCTGCATGGCTGGCCACATCCACCTTTGTCATGTCTACAACAGTGATTTCCTTCCTACTATGACTGAAGGAAGTCTTTTTTGGATTCAGAGCAATGCGACACACACTGACAAGCGCATTAGGAAAATGTTCTAAGAGAAAGGGAAAAAAGGAGGTCTGAGGTAGAGACACACACGAAGTGCTCACCTTTTTTGCTCAACAACTGTAGAATTGGGTTAAATTCATAAATTATATTCTACTGAGCAGAAAGACAGACAGACAATGTAAAGGTGCATGAAGATGGATAGCCAGATGGTATAGGAACTGAAGGTTTAAACAAGTACAGTAAAATTGGGTCAAACCCTACTGAGGCAAACTCTTCTGAATGGGAGCTTTGCCGGGATAAAAATGACAGGTCTGGCTCACTCAAGTCATCAAAAGCTCAACTTACCCACAGCAAATAAGGACCACATCTTCTAACACTGAGCAGAACACAAGATTTTTACTATCATTAACTACATTGAATTGACAATGCTGATATTTTGGGAAAAAGCAACATAATATACTTCTGGTGAAATTTTTTTCCAGAAGTTCCTTCTGTTCATCAACCAACTCCTCTGTGAATTCCAGTTTCAGAGCCGGACATAAACAAGAAGCTTCCAGCAGAGTGCATTAATGACTCAGCACATCATTTCTGTCCATACCTCCCTTACAAACCTACACTTTCAGGATTTACACAGGCCATCTGCTCTGAAAAATGAAGAGCTGAATCAAAATCTTGCCATGGAAGTGTCTCTTTTGACTAACGTTAAAGGAAATTATTTGAATGTTTTTAAAAACTGTGGCATTGTGTAAATCATCAAAATGTCTCCCAAACACTGACCTTTCAGTCCTTGCAACCACCCCTGCGGGGTAGGTAAGTAAGTGCTATTATATTAACTCAATTCTACATGCAAGGAAAGAGAAAAACAACGATGTTAAGTGACCTGCTGAGTCATATGCACAGCTGGGAACAGCACAGTCCGGTGGTTCATAATAACCTCGAGTTGTATAGTGTTTTGCCACCTTCTTGTGTTAATAAAACTAGCAAAATGGTTTCCATTTGCTTAGGGGGCAATCTACAACCTCCTGTCAATTAATCAATATGAGTACTTTATAAAATCCTAAAATACATGTAAAATAACACTGCTGATAGAAACAGTACGTAAAGTTAACCCTCAACTAAGGCTGTATCACATAAGAACCTTGACATTGGCCTGAAGCAGAAGAACAAGCCCTTTATTGTGATATGAAAAATCAAAAAGCATATGCTGAACTAGTCAAGTGAAGTACATATTAAAAAATAGTGGTAAAACCCTGGTAACAATTCTAAAAGCCTTTGCTAATGCCCTACTAGCTTCCTTTTCAGTTAGTAGTTTTGATTGCCATTACCTCTGGGTGATGAGTCTAGGAACTGGTGTACTATTTTTTTAAACAAACAATGTGCAGATGTTTTTTAAAAAAAAAAAACAATTAATCAAATTTTTTTTTTATATTGGTTACTACCCATATCAAGTAGCTATTTCCAGTACAGTGGACTGACAAATGTTGTTGTTAACACAGCCGGTAATTGCATTATCTCAAAAATGACCGCAGGATGGAACATGCCTAATTGCAGTGTCCTGATAAACCGACAGTCAGACTATGTTAGCACATGAAATAGGAACTGTCCACTTGCAAAATTAATAGAGGCTCTGTGTTTAAATACCAACAAAGTTTGTACAGCAGATGATAAGAAATTATTTTCATGCACGTATTTAACAAAAAGAAAGAAAAAATGCTACAAGACAATTCAAGGAGGAAATCAATGAACACAAAAACGCTGTTGACATGGCAGAGTTCAATGGACAGTCCCCTGGAGATTCTGAACCCAAATCCTTCCCTCATATCCACATGGTATGGCTCAGTTTTGACATACTGCTGTCTCCCTGTACTGATGGCCTTGATGCAGCAGTCTTGTTCTGTTGAACAAAGCACTGACGCACATGCTTACCATCGTGACAACTTCACTGGGATTTAGGCCTCTGCTTAAAATTAAGCCAACACTTAAGTTCTTTGCTGGAGGGGATTTTAGCAGGAGGAAAATGTAGTGATCATGGGCTACTGAAATTGAACACTCACTGTGCAGAACAGAGTAGAAATTTGCTTTGTGAGACTAGAATTTGAATCCTGCACTCTGTGTACAGAACCCCCAATACACGTAGGCATTGAAGCATGAATTACAGGTTGAAGACCAAAGAAATGATCCAACTCTGAATCTCTTTGCTTTCATGCATTTAAGATTCCAAAAACAAAGCTAATGGTAATTAAAAAAAGCAGCCAAACAAATCTGAAGAAAATAAAGATGACCCATACTGAATCATAGTTTTGGTGACCACATTGGGACAGCAGACATCTTGGCTCATATTGCATATAACGGATAAAAAGGTGAGCATCACCATCTTTTTTTCTTTAATATGGATGTACTTAACATATCCTGTCAGTTACCTCTGTGCCTATGTGTCTACCTCATCCACGCACTGCAGCTGGTTTGCAGATGGGGAGTTATTGCTGGGGAATGCCTTATCTTTTCACATGAAGCTGCAGAAAGTATCTCCATTTTCTGATTCCCCCATCCTTTAGACTGATGTCTCATCCCTCTGCTGACAGCTGTGCACTGCAACTTCCAGGAGACCCTTACCTTCCTCCAGAGCTCCAGTCTGCTCGGAAGCTGGCGACGGAGGTGGGGAAGGAGGCAGGTTAGCTGACTCTTCGACTGCTAGAAATCGAACAGTGAAAATGAGATACAGCAATTAATTCCCGGGAGACCTGTGCTTGATACTGCAGTCAGTCTGTTCTGCCCAACTGAGAGAATTATTCAATGGGGACTTGTGCCTAGTGGGTTTTCAGATAGACCCTTTCAGAATACACAAATTTTTAAAGCTATAATAAAAGAATTTTTTTTTCAGATGGTATGAATTATTTTCAAAATTCTGGTCATAGGGTACAATACAAAAATCAAGTACAAAATTACCTTTTAAACCAGTACTGCCACTTAGAAAACCTTCAGTCAACCAAGGAAACAACAATAAAGCATCTGAGCATGAGACATTTTATAAATTCACGCTGACTATCAGAAACTGGCATCCAATCTCTTCAATTTACCTTGAGTACATGAACAAAAAACAATCTGCAAGCTTTTTTATTTCTTCTGCTGAGTTCAAGGTTAATCACAGAATACATGCAAATATTGCTTGTCTAAATACAAAAGACATCAGCATAGGGAACTTATGTCAGCCATGACATAACAGTGATTCAGCTGAGCAAGGTGCAGTGAAATCTTAGATGCACTTAGATTAGGTTTTTAGATTAATTCCCAGTCACGAGACTAGATGCCAAAACTAGATGATGTTTTTTTCAATTATTTCTATTAAAGTATGATGAAATCCTAAACAAACTGCTTCTTAAATGAACTCAGCATAACCTCTGCATCTGATTTCATACCAATCACTTTGAGAATTTTTTTCTTTAAAGACAGATCCACTACCAGGGCTTAACCAATGTTTAAAAAAAAAAAAAAAAGTAACAAATCTGTTTTAACAGATCTGTCTTATAAACGGCACCTCTCAACAGGCAGATCTCAGTTTCTGATTCAGGGCTTCTTCCCAAGCACAGAAAGGCCAGTTTCAAATCCCCAGCAGAATTTGCCAGGCCTCCTCCCATTGATTTCCATGTGGTTTGGAAGAGATCCTTATGTGACTTGTCCTTAAGATGTGCTGTCCACGGACAGAGTATTTATATCTTCATCACAATGCAATTCTACCTGCGCTTATTTAACAGTCACTGACCACAGGAACTGTAACACCAACAGTTGCTAACTGAAGACATACTTCTCAAAGTATTTTTAAAATGTCTTATCTAACTAGATGGAACTGAATATCCATTTTGCCTCACCCAGGCGCCAGTGAAGCAATCTGTGCTTAAGTATATACAAAGTGTTTTGCAGAATGGGGGTGTTCCATGTAAAATTCAGTCTCTGTAAAGAAGGGAATTACCAAGCAACACGTCTCCCTGCTGCAGTGCAAAATTAGTTCAGTGAAGCAAAAGACCTTGGGAACCAAATTTCCAACAAATATTATAAATTACTCATTGACTTTAATTCCTTCCTCAGCAGGGTCCAGCCACTGTACCAAACAAAGCAGAGTGCCTGTGGGGAAAATACCACAAGGAATTATATTGATTTGATCACAGTGCAGTGATCACGTGCAGTCAGCAGAACTTATCCTGGGGCAGGCTTGCAAGACTTGCCCTACCTCAGGATGGAGTATGGCCTTTGGTGTGCATGCTTTGAGCTACTGTGGAAGTTTTCTGGCAGGGAGGAAGCACTGTAGGTACAAATAGTTTTTTATATATAATTTATATATAGTTTTTTATATACTTGATATACTTTTATATACTTTACTGCTTTTTTATATAGATATATATACATACTTGTGTTTAAGAGAGACATTTCACAAAGGAGCCAGCAGGAGGATGGGGGCACAGCACAGACCAGTGGCAGTGGTGCCATTCCCAGTCTCGACCACTGGCATTTGCTTCTACCACATGTAACTCCCTCTCCCACAATCTTCCCTCACCCTGCCCAGCTGCTAACCCCTCTCCCACCCTCACCTGGTGTGCCCCATTCCTCTCTGCTTCCTGTTGAGGTGCTCCTCCTCCATCTTTTTGAGTGGAGGAGAGGGCACCACCCAATCAGCAAAGCTTCACTTCATTTTATATGCCTCTCCTCTAATCTTTCCCTCTTCAGACATTAATGTTTCTCTCTCACGTTATACATGGCTGAACACAAAGGGGCTCCGAGCGCTGCTGGGTCCCACCAAACACGACGACAAAACCGCTACCACCGATTACATTCACAGCTGCACCGCTCAGGAGTCAGAAACCAGGTGGAGAACTGCTGTTAAAGGAAACTGTGAATGAGACAGTCACAGGGCCGTGAAGAATTGGGGCAACAAGGATACCACTATTATTACGTGGTTCCAGCATTTATCCATTGGTGCCGCAGTTTACCCATGACCATAATCCTATGTGAATACACAGCTGTAACTGTTTTTTGTAATATACATACATATAACATTTGCAGACACAAGGATACTTTGAACATTCTTTGTCTCATTTTACCTAAAGGTAGTGGTCCAGGCTGATCTTTGTGCTGGGCTTCTTTTTCCTGTTCGCCTTTCACGACTGCTACAGCTTCAGCTGTTACTACTTGTACTATCCTCGCAGACACTTCTTCTGTGGCAGCAGCAAAGTTAGAAAAAACAAAGAAAAGTATGCTAATGAGAACAATGTTTTAAGATTATAAATATAAAATTAAACAATAAAAATTGGAGACTGTCTTAATCCATTTTGAAAAGGTAATCTTTTTTCCTGAAATATAAGCAAATCATAGAATCATAGAATCATTAAGGTTGGAAAAGACCTCTAAGATCATCGAGTCCAACCGTCGACCCAACACCACCATGCCCACTAAACCATGTCCCTAAGCGCCTCATCTACACCTCTTTTAAATATTTCCAGGGGTGGTGACTCAACCACTTCCCTGGGCAGCCTCTTCCAATGTGTAACCACTCTTTCAGTAAAGAAATTTTTCCTCACATCCAATCTAAACCTCCCCTGGTGCAACTTGAGGCCATTTC